AAGAACTATGAAAGATTCTACATTCGCTCCAGCTAACCTAAAGAACTAGTGAAAGATTCTACATTCGCTCCAGCTAACCTAAAGAACTAGTGAAAGATTCTACATTCGCTCCAGCTAACCTAAAGAACTAGTGAAAGATTCTACATTCGCTCCAGCTAACCTAAAGAACTAGTGAAAGATTCTACATTCGCTCCAGCTAACCTAAAGAACTAGTGAAAGATTCTACATTCGCTCCAGCTAACCTAAAGAACTAGTGAAAGATTCTACATTCCAGCTAACCTAAAGAACTGTGAAAGATTAACTCACTCCAGCTAACCTAAAGAACTAGTGAAAGATTCTACATTCGCTCCAGCTAACCTAAAGAACTAGTGAAAGATTCTACATTCGCTCCAGCTAACCTAAAGAACTAGTGAAAGATTCTACATTCGCTCCAGCTAACCTAAAGAACTGTGAAAGATTCTACATTCGCTCCAGCTAACCTAAAGAACTGTGAAAGATTCTACATTCGCTCCCTAAAGCTAAAGATTCCTAAAGAACTAAAAGTGAAAGATTCTACATTCAAAGATCCAGCTAACCTAAAGAACTAGTGAAAGATTCTACATTCGCTCCAGCTAACCTAAAGAACTAGTGAAAGATTCTACATTCGCTCCAGCTAACCTAAAGAACTAGTGAAAGATTCTACATTCGCTCCAGCTAACCTAAAGAACTAGTGAAAGATTCTACATTCGCTCCTAGCCTAACCTAAAAGATTCTACATTCGCTCCAGCTAACCTAAAGAAACTAGTGAAAGATTCTACATTCGCTCCAGCTAACCTAAAGAACTAGTGAAAGATTCTACATTCGCTCCAGCTAACCTAAAGAACTAGTGAAAGATTCTACATTCGCTCCAGCTAACCTAAAGAACTAGTGAAAGATTCTACATTCGCTCCAGCTCATTCGCTCCAGCTAACCTAAAGAACTAGTGAAAGATTCTACATTCGCTCCAGCTAACCTAAAGAACTAGTGAAAGATTCTACATTCGCTCCAGCTAACCTAAAGAACTAGTGAAAGATTCTACATTCGCTCCAGCTAACCTAAAGAACTAGTGAAAGATTCTACATTCGCTCCAGCTAACCTAAAGAACTAGTGAAAGATTCTACATTCGCTCCAGCTAACCTAAAGAACTAGTGAAAGATTCTACATTCGCTCCAGCTAACCTAAAGAACTAGTGAAAGATTCTACATTCGCTCCAGCTAACCTAAAGAACTAGTGAAAGATTCTACATTCGCTCCAGCTAACCTAAAGAACTAGTGAAAGATTCTACATTCGCTCCAGCTAACCTAAAGAACTGTGAAAGATTCTACATTCGCTCCAGCTAACCTAAAGAACTAGTGAAAGATTCTACATTCGCTCCAGCTAACCTAAAGAACTAGTGAAAGATTCTACATTCGCTCCAGCTAACCTAAAGAACTAGTGAAAGATTCTACATTCGCTCCAGCTAACCTAAAGAACTAGTGAAAGATTCTACATTCGCTCCAGCTAACCTAAAGAACTAGTGAAAGATTCTACATTCGCTCCAGCTAACCTAAAGAACTAGTGAAAGATTCTACATTCGCTCCAGCTAACCTAAAGAACTAGTGAAAGATTCTACATTCGCTCCAGCTAACCTAAAGAACTAGTGAAAGATTCTACATTCGCTTCGCTAACCTAAAGAACTAGTGAAAGATTCTACATTCGCTCCAGCTAACCTAAAGAACTAGTGAAAGATTCTACATTCGCTCCAGCTAACCTAAAGAACTAGTGAAAGATTCTACATTCGCTCCAGCTAACCTAAAGAACTAGTGAAAGATTCTACATTCGCTCCAGCTAACCTAAAGAACTAGTGAACATTCGAGCTTAAAGAACTACATTCGCTCCAGCTAACCTAAAGAACTAGTGAAGATTCTACATTCGCTCCAGCTAACCTAAAGAAAGTGAAAGATTCTACATTCCAGCTAACCTAAAGAACTAGTGAAAGATTCTACATTCGCTCCAGCTAACCTAAAGAACTAGTGAAAGATTCTACATTCGCTCCAGCTAACCTAAAGAACTAGTGAAAGATTCTACATTCCTCCAGCTAACCTAAAGAACTAGTGAAAGATTCTACATTCGCTCCAGCTAACCTAAAGAACTAGTGAAAGATTCTACATTCGCTCCAGCTAACCTAAAGAACTAGTGAAAGATTCTACATTCGCTCCAGCTAACCTAAAGAACTAGTGAAAGATTCTACATTCATTCGCTCCAGCTAACCTAAAGAACTAGTGAAAGATTCTACATTCGCTCCAGCTAACCTAAAGAACTAGTGAAAGATTCTACATTCGCTCCAGCTAACCTAAAGTGAAAGAACTAGTGAAAGATTCTACATTCGCTCCAGCTAACCTAAAGAACTAGTGAAAGATTCTACATTCGCTCCAGCTAACCTAAAGAACTAGTGAAAGATTCTACATTCGCTCCAGCTAACCTAAAGAACTAGTGAAAGATTCTACATTCGCTCCAGCTAACCTAAAGAACTAGTGAAAGATTCTACATTCGCTCCAGCTAACCTAAAGAACTAGTGAAAGATTCTACATTCGCTCCAGCTAACCTAAAGAACTAGTGAAAGATTCTACATTCGCTCCAGCTAACCTAAAGAACTAGTGAAAGATTCTACATTCGCTCCAGCTAACCTAAAAGAAACTAGTGAAAGATTCTACATTCGCTCCAGCTAACCTAAAGAACTAGTGAAAGATTCTACATTCGCTCCAGCTAACCTAAAGAACTAGTGAAAGATTCTACATTCGCTCCAGCTAACCTAAAGAACTAGTGAAAGATTCTACATTCGCTCCAGCTAACCTAAAGAACTAGTGAAACCTAAAGAACTAGTGATTCTACATTCGCTCCAGCTAACCTAAAGAACTAGTGAAAGATTCTACATTCGCTCCAGCTAACCTAAAGAACTAGTGAAAGATTCTACATTCGCTCCAGCTAACCTAAAGAACTAGTGAAAGATTCTACATTCGCTCCAGCTAACCTAAAGAACTAGTGAAAGATCTCTACATTCGCTCCAGCTAACCTAAAGAACTAGTGAAAGATTCTACATTCGCTCCAGCTAACCTAAAGAACTAGTGAAAGATTCTACATTCGCTCCAGCTAACCTAAAGAACTAGTGAAAGATTCTACATTCGCTCCAGCTAACCTAAAGAACTAGTGAAAGATTCTAGTGAAAGATTCTACATTCGCTCCAGCTAACCTAAAGAACTAGTGAAAGATTCTACATTCGCTCCAGCTAACCTAAAGAACTAGTGAAAGATTCTACATTCGCTCCAGCTAACCTAAAGAAACTAGTAGTGAAAGATTCTACATTCGCTCCAGCTAACCTAAAGAACTAGTGAAAGATTCTACATTCGCTCCAGCTAACCTAAAGAACTAGTGAAAGATTCTACATTCGCTCCAGCTAACCTAAAGAACTAGTGAAAGATTCTACATTCGCTCCAGCTAACCTAAAGAACTAGTGAAAGATTCTACATTCGCTCCAGCTAACCTAAAGAACTAGTGAAAGATTCTACATTCGCTCCAGCTAACCTAAAGAAAGATTCTAGTGAAAGATTCTACATTCGCTCCAGCTAACCTAAAGAACTAGTGAAAGATTCTACATTCGCTCCAGCTAACCTAAAGAACTAGTGAAAGATTCTACATTCGCTCCAGCTAACCTAAAGAGAACTAGTGAAAAGATTCTAGCTGCTAAAGAACTAGTGAAAGATTCTACATTCGCTCCAGCTAACCTAAAGAACTAGTGAAAGATTCTACATTCGCTCCAGCTAACCTAAAGAACTAGTGAAAGATTCTACATTCACTCCAGCTAACCTAAAGAACTAGTGAAAGATTCTACATTCGCTCCAGCTAACCTAAAGAACTAGTGAAAGATTCTACATTCGCTCCAGCTAACCTAAAGAACTAGTGAAAGATTCTACATTCGCTCCAGCTAACCTAAAGAAACTAGTGAAAGATTCTACATTCGCTCCAGCTAACCTAAAGAACTAGTGAAAGATTCTACATTCGCTCCAGCTAACCTAAAGAACTAGTGAAAGATTCTACATTCGCTCCAGCTAACCTAAAGAACTAGTGAAAGATTCTACATTCGCTCCAGCTAACCTAAAGAACTAGTGAAAGATTCTACATTCGCTCCAGCTAACCTAAAGAACTAGTGAAAGATTCTACATTCGCTCCAGCTAACCTAAAGAACTAGTGAAAGATTCTACATTCGCTCCAGCTAACCTAAAGAACTAGTGAAAGATTCTACATTCGCTCCAGCTAACCTAAAGAACTAGTGAAAGATTCTACATTCGCTCCAGCTAACCTAAAGAACTAGTGAAAGATTCTACATTCGCTCCAGCTAACCTAAAGAACTAGTGAAAGATTCTACATTCGCTCCAGCTAACCTAAAGAACTAGTGAAAGATTCTACATTCACTCCAGCTAACCTAAAGAACTAGTGAAAGATTCTACATTCACTCCAGCTAACCTAAAGAACTAGTGAAAGATTCTACATTCGCTCCAGCTAACCTAAAGAACTAGTGAAAGATTCTACATTCGCTCCAGCTAACCTAAAGAACTAGTGAAAGATTCTACATTCGCTCCAGCTAACCTAAAGAACTAGTGAAGTGAAAGATTCTACATTCGCTCCAGCTAACCTAAAGAACTAGTGAAAGATTCTACATTCGCTCCAGCTAACCTAAAGAACTAGTGAAAGATTCTACATTCGCTCCAGCTAACCTAAAGAACTAGTGAAAGATTCTACATTCGCTCCAGCTAACCTAAAGAACTAGTGAAAGATTCTACATTCGCTCCAGCTAACCTAAAGAACTAGTGAAAGATTCTACATTCGCTCCAGCTAACCTAAAGAACTGTGAAAGGACATAAAGGAATAGTATTTTTCACGTATGTTTGAATGTTTTTTTTTTTTTTTTGGTAGCTTATTAAGTTTTTTTCTTGTTTGTCCCTCAGGACAAGGCAGAGAATTTTGTCATGGCTGCCCTGTTTTGTGCCTCGGAGGAAGGCAATGTGGATGGTCTGAAAGAGTTGTCAGAGATGGCCGCCAACATTGACCTCAACACAGCCAACAAGGTCAGTGATATTTCATTTTTTGAAACCTGACAAGTAATATGACAGCTACAATACATAGCATATGATAGCTACATTGTTGTTCGTCTATCACAGGTGATGATGACTAGTCCTTTTATCCAGTGGTGACTGGATTAGGGTATGTGAGTGCGCAGATGGCTAATAAGACCAATTCAAACATTGAAAGTTCTTGAACAGTGTGGACAGGGAATAGAAGCCGCATCTCTCTGGTGATTTGCTTCATTGTCTTTCCTGGCTTATCTTTGATGAATTGCTGCTCAATTTCTAGCAACTTCATGGGCCACAGCTCCTCGACAAAGAGAGGAGCGCCAGGATGAGCGGTCACATGCAGCGACTTCCCAGGTTTAAGGGTCAGTACAGAAGTCTTTCAGTGAAGTCTTGAGGTTGTCCTTGAAATATTCCTTCTGTCCATCTTGAGGGCGTTTTCCTTTTAGTAGCTCACTGTAGAAAATTCTATTTGGCAGTCGAGTCATGCATGTGGACTATATGACCTGTTCAGTGAAGCTGTGATTGTTTTGTTTTAAAATTTAGTAAATACTGGACAGTCTATCTCTGTCAAGGACTTCAGTGTTAGGGATCCTGTCTTGCCATTTTATGTTCCGAAACTTTCTGAGGCATACTGTGTGAAAGTGGTTCAACTTCTTAGCATGGTGCTGGTAAATGGTCCATAGTTTCACATGCATAGAGAACGAACAAACGAATGAACATTTTTTTTTAAAGGGTCACAATTTGGGCATGCAGGCCTGTCCAAACACCCATCTTTCACACAGTAGTTGTATTTTATCAATAAAGCATGTAATGTTTGTATAATAATATGCATATTATGAATATCAAGAAACAACACATAAACATCAGTGGTAAAATGCATGCACACACTCACGCGGGAGCGCGCGCACACACACTTACATGCTCGCACCCACTCACACACATGTATTCACACCACATACATACATCTAAATACACACATATTACACACATATTACACACACACACATGCCAGACACATATATAAGCATACATGCATGCACATACATACATACACACACACACACACACATACACACACACACACACCACAGCACACAGCACAGCACAACATAACATAACATAACATAACATTGCATTACATACATTACATTACATATACTACATACATTACACTGCACACATTACATTGCACACATTACATTACATACATTACATTACATACATTACATTACATGCATTTCATTACATACATTTCATTACTTACATTACATTACATGACACCTATTACATGGCACCCATTACATCGCACACATACATACATATATTACATACATATATTTCATACATTACATACATACATACATACATACATACATACATACATACATACATACATACATACATACATACATACATACATACATACATACATACATACATACATACATACATACATACATACATACATACATACATACATACATACATACATACATACATACATACATACATACATACATACATACATACATACATACACACACACACAGACACACACATACACACACACACACACACACACACATATACACACATACACATATACACACACACACACACACACACACATATACACACATACACACATACACATACACACATACATTACATACGCATGCATCACGCATGTACACACAAAGACACAACACCCACAGACAGGAACACACACAAAAAAACACACACACATGCATACACACACTCACACACTCAGGCAGACAGGCATATGCAGACAAAAACAGACACAGACACATATGCAGGCACACACAAACACACACAGATGCAGACATACATGGACAAACATAGAGAAGTACAGGAAGTATGACAGCTTCGTCTGCTGGCTGATGCTGGCTCTGTTCCAGACTTTTGTGCCAAGTCGACCAAATGTGCTGCTGGTTTTAGATATCCATGTATTGCAGCTATGACAGCTACATTACATGTCATATAACAGCTGCATTATATAATATATGACAGCTATACTACTTGACATCTGACAGCTAAAATGCATTACATCTGACACCTATAATACATGACAGGTGCAGTACATAACATTTTACAGTCACAGAACCCAATATCAGCAGCTACAGTAGATGATATTAGACAGCTACAGTGTATGATATGTGATAAATACAATAGCATATGGCAGCCACAGTACATGACTTCTGACAGTTACAGTACATGACTTCTGACAACTGCAGCGTATGACATATGAGAGCTAAGGTATTTGACATCTAACAGCTGCAGTACATGCCTCAACAGCTTCAGAACTTAATGTGTGAAAGCTACAGTAGTTGACATCTTACAGCTGCAGTACTCAGGTATCTGACAGCTACAATATTTGACATGTGACATCTACAGTACTTGACATGTGACAGCTACAGTACTCAACATGACAACTACAGTATTTGACAGCTACAGTATTTGATATCTGACATCTACAGTGCTTGACATCTGATAGCCACAATACTCAACATCTTATAACTACAATACTCATCATCTAACAGCTACTGTACTTGACATGTGACAGCTACAGTACATGACATCAACATGGCATGATATCTTATAACTACAATACTCATCATCTAACAGCTACTGTACTTGACATGTTACAGCTACAGTACATGACATCAACATGACATGACATCTTACAGCTACAATATTTGTCATCTAAAGGCTACAATACTTGATATGTGACAGCTACAGAGCTTGACATGTGACAACTACAGTACTCAACATGTGACAACTACAGTACTCAACATGTGACAACTACAGTACTCAACATGTGACAACTACAGTACTCAACATGTGACAACTACAGTACTCAACATGTGACAACTACAGTACTCAACATGTGACAACTACAGTACTCAACATGTGACAACTACAGTACTCAACATGTGACAACTACAGTACTCAACATGTGACAACTACAGTACTCAACATGTGACAACTACAGTACTCCACATGAGACAACTACAGTACTCCACGTGTGAAAGCTGCAGTACTTGACCTCCAGCAGCTACAGTACTAGATATGTGACAGTTACATTACTCGACATGTGACAGTTACATTACTCCACATGTGACAGTTACATTACTCCACATGTGACAGTTACATTACTCCACATGTGACAGCTACAGGACTCGACATGTAACAGTTTGATTTGATTTGATTTGATTCAAGAACCGACATCACAGCACTCGGGGCATTCCCATAAGCGCTCCGTCCCCATCTTCAGCAGCCAGCGAAGAGTTCCTATACTAATGGTGCCAGTAGCTTTCTGATTAAACGTCCGTCTTGCCTTTCCTCTAAGCCTTGAGCTTCTGCCAGAACCTCTCGTCACTCCCAACTGCACCAATCTCACCAGACTGTGGTGATCCATCTGCTCCTCGACATGTAACAGTTACAGTAATCAATATGTGACAGCTACAGTGCTTGACATCTGACAACTACAGTTCATCGCATCTAACAGTAGTGCACATGCCATATGATGTTGTATGTAAATATATTTCAGCATGGAGAGACGGCAGTGCACATGGCAGCCAGTGGGGGACATGTGGAGGTGCTCAAATTCCTCATCAACAAAGGTGTCGACATCTCCATCAAAGACAAGGTATCTTTCTCATTTGACACTTTACTTCATTTCTACTTCATCTTCCAGTGGACACTTTACCTCAGATCTAGCTATACTTTACCTCATCTTCCAGCGGACACTTCACCTCAGATCTAGCTATACTTTACCTCATCTTCCAGCGGACACTTCACTTCAGATTTAGCGATACTTTACCTCAGCTTTAGCTGACACTTTACCTCAGATCTAGCTATACTTTACCTCAGCTTTAGCTGACACTTTACCTCAGATCTAGCTATACTTTACCTCAGCTTTAGCTGACACTTTACCTCAGATCTAGCTATACTTTACCTCAGATCTAGCTATACTTTACCTCATCTTCCAGCGGACACTTTACCTCAGATCTAGCTATACTTTACCTCATCTTCCAGCGGACACTTTACCTCAGATCTAGCTATACTTTACCACCTCAGCTTTAGCTGACATTTTACCTCAGATCTAGCTATACTTTACCTCAGATCTAGCTGACACTTTACCTCAGATCTAGCTATACTTTACCTCAGCTTTAGCTGACACTTTACCTCAGATCTAGCTATACTTTACCTCAGCTTTAGCTAACACTTTACCTCAGATCTAGCTATACTTTACCTCAGCTTTAGCTAACACTTTACCTCAGATCTAGCTATACTTTACCTCAGCTTTAGCTGACACTTTACCTCAGATCTAGCTATACTTTACCTCAGCTTTAGCTGACACTTTACCTCAGATCTAGCTATACTTTACCTCAGCTTTAGCTGACACTTTACCTCAGATCTAGCTATACTTTACCTCAGCTTTAGCTGACACTTTACCTCAGATATAGCTATACTTTACCTCAGATCTAGCTATACTTTACCTCATCTTCCAGCGGACACTTTACCTCAGATCTAGCTATACTTTACCTCATCTTCCAGCGGACACTTTACCTCAGATCTAGCTATACTTTACCACCTCAGCTTTAGCTGACATTTTACCTCAGATCTAGCTATACTTTACCTCAGATCTAGCTGACACTTTACCTCAGATCTAGCTATACTTTACCTCAGCTTTAGCTGACACTTTACCTCAGATCTAGCTATACTTTACCTCAGCTTTAGCTAACACTTTACCTCAGATCTAGCTATACTTTACCTCAGCTTTAGCTAACACTTTACCTCAGATCTAGCTATACTTTACCTCAGCTTTAGCTAACACTTCACCTCAGATCTAGCTATACTTTACCTCAGATCTAGCTGACACTTTACCTCAGATCTAGCTATACTTTACCTCAGCTTTAGCTGACACTTTACCTCAGATCTAGCTATACTTTACCTCAGCTTTAGCTAACACTTTACCTCAGATCTAGCTATACTTTACCTCAGCTTTAGCTAACACTTTACCTCAGATCTAGCTATACTTTACCTCAGCTTTAGCTGACACTTTACCTCAGATCTAGCTATACTTTACCTCAGCTTTAGCTAACACTTTACCTCAGATCTAGCTATACTTTACCTCAGCCTTAGCTAACACTTTACCTCAGATCTAGCTATACTTTACCTCAGCTTTAGCTGACACTTTACCTCAGATCTAGCTATACTTTACCTCAGATCTAGCTGACACTTTACCTCAGATCTAGCTATACTTTACCTCAGCTTTAGCTGACACTTTACCTCAGATCTAGCTATACTTTACCTCAGCTTTAGCTAACACTTTACCTCAGATCTAGCTATACTTTACCTCAGCTTTAGCTAACACTTTACCTCAGATCTAGCTATACTTTACCTCAGCTTTAGCTGACACTTTACCTCAGATCTAGCTATACTTTACCTCAGCTTTAGCTAACACTTTACCTCAGATCTAGCTATACTTTACCTCAGCTTTAGCTGACACTTTACCTCAGATATAGCTATACTTTACCTCAGATCTAGCTATACTTTACCTCATCTTCCAGTGGACACTTTACCTCAGATCTAGCTATACTTTACCTCATCTTCCAGCGGACACTTTACCTCAGATCTAGCTATACTTTACCACCTCAGCTTTAGCTGACATTTTACCTCAGATCTAGCTATACTTTACCTCAGATCTAGCTGACACTTTACCTCAGATCTAGCTATACTTTACCTCAGCTTTAGCTAACACTTTACCTCAGATCTAGCTATACTTTACCTCAGCTTTAGCTAACACTTTACCTCAGATCTAGCTATACTTTACCTCAGCTTTAGCTAACACTTTACCTCAGATCTAGCTATACTTTACCTCAGATCTAGCTGACACTTTACCTCAGATCTAGCTATACTTTACCTCAGCTTTAGCTAACACTTTACCTCAGATCTAGCTATACTTTACCTCAGCTTTAGCTAACACTTTACCTCAGATCTAGCTATACTTTACCTCAGCTTTAGCTGACACTTTACCTCAGATCTAGCTATACTTTACCTCAGCTTTAGCTGACACTTTACCTCAGATCTAGCTATACTTTACCTCAGATCTAGCTATACTTTACCTCAGCTTTAGCTGACACTTTACCTCAGATCTAGCTATACTTTACCTCATCTTCCAGCGGACACTTTACCTCAGATCTAGCTATACTTTACCACCTCAGCTTTAGCTGACATTTTACCTCAGATCTAGCTATACTTTACCTCAGATCTAGCTGACACTTTACCTCAGATCTAGCTATACTTTACCTCAGCTTTAGCTGACACTTTACCTCAGATCTAGCTATACTTTACCTCAGCTTTAGCTAACACTTTACCTCAGATCTAGCTATACTTTACCTCAGCTTTAGCTAACACTTTACCTCAGATCTAGCTATACTTTACCTCAGCTTTAGCTAACACTTTACCTCAGATCTAGCTATACTTTACCTCAGCTTTAGCTGACACTTTACCTAGGTTATATCTGACACTTCAACTTATTTCTAGCTGACACAGGCAGATGTTTACCTTAATCAGAATCTGGACACATGACCAACAGACAGATGTTTACCTTAATGAGAATCTGGACACATGACCAACAGGCAGATGTTTCACTCAGTGAGAATCTGGACACATGACAAACAGACAGATGTTTCACTCAGTGGGAATCTAGGTACATGACCAACAGGCAGATGTTTCGCTCAGTGGGAATCTGGACACATGACCAGCAGACAGATATTTCACTCAGTGCGAATCTGGACACATGACCAACAGGCAGATGTTTCGCTCAGTGGGAATCTGGACACATGACCAACAGGCAGATGTTTCACTCAGTGGGAATCTGGACACATTACCAACAGGCAGATGTTTCACTCAGTGGGAATCTGGACACATGACCAACATGTAAATGTGCTAGTTCTGCACTATGGTGGCTTTAGATGGTTTTAGTGAAAGGTGGGCAGCATCAAGGGAGTGCACAAGGAGAAGATGAATTGATGACGAAGACATGAAATATACTTACAGAATGACACTGGCTAGTGCCATCCATTGAACAGTGTACTGCAGACTCTTCCTTCTGATATAACCATACTGTGACATAGTTATATTGTGACATAATCATATTGTGACCTAATCATGTTGTAATGTAATCAAACTGTCTTGACACTAAGACGCGTATCTTTTCTGGCAACACCAGCAAGGGGACAGTGCTGTCTACTGGGCTGCTCGTCAAGGTCACACAGAGGTTATTAAATGTCTAGTCGAGGCAGGGGTATCCGTCAACACACAGAACAAGGTGAGTTATTCCACCACACAAAATGACAGAGTTATTTCAACACTGAAAACTGGGGAGTTATTCCAACAGATAGCTGGAAATTTTTCCCAGAACACACAACTAGAAGTTATATATATTCCTACATACAGAACAAGATAAGTCATTCCAACACTGTTAAAATGTTTTCCCACAGTGAGAGTTATTCTGACAAAATACAGAACAAAGTAGATTACTTCTAGCACAGAGGAGAATGTACTTGTAATATCTGTAACACACAGGACATATTGAATGATTGCATTATCATACCAATCTTCTCCTTCATTCATCTGAGTGGTGCAAACACATTGTCCCTGTTTATGGTAAAGCTGTGATTTTTGCACCTTTTGGCTGATACATCTGACTTATTCTGGCAAGTTTTAGCCAGGCCAGCCTTCCTGGTTAGTTTCATGAGACATGGTGGGCCATTTATAACCTCATATGTGGGGTGTCTGTCATCTCCCGATCCACAGGTGTTGTCCCTAGAGGACCCATCCAGGGCAGCCGTGTGCAAATAGGTCAACTTCCCAAGAGAAGATCGGGCAGAGCATGAGTATCCCCTGCCATTCAAGGAGGCTTTCAATAATGATGAACCGATACATGGTGCTCTGGTACTCGGCTCACCTAGGGAATCTTCACATCCTACACATGATTGTTTAACTTCACATCTGTTTATTGATCTTTCCACTCATTATGGTCATCCCCAGGCAGCAGCCTCCGGACCCGAAACCTCAGTTCCCTGCACTCACTTCTTCAGCATGTTAGTCTTCTATGTTTGACAATGGCACCGTTCACATGGAAGCCCCAGGCACTTTTCCAGTTTTATAGGAAGAATGTGTCAGGCATGGCTTCCCTGTATGATCCTTACATGCCAACAAGTGTGGCCAATGGTAGCAGACATTGGAAACTTTTATTTCAGAACGTCAGATCTTTGAGTGAGAGACATCAATGGATGGACATTTAAACCCAAGCAGCCACACAGGAGTCTTGATCGACAGACGTTTAGGGCTGTACCGAATAGTGATTTTCACTATTCGGCTGAATACGAATAGCGGCACCAATTTTTCGGCCGAATACGAATAGTATATAATCATCATCAAGTGCCCTGCCGGCTGGTGTGATCTTCCTCTATCCCTCCTTCCACAGATCTTTCCAGTGGTCACCACATGTTTCATTTTCTCTCTTCTGATAACATGGGCGAAAAATGATAACTGTCTCCTTCTGATGTCTGTGATTAGTTGTCTTCGGGCTTCTGCAACTTTCAGAACCTCTTGATTGCTTTTTTTTAAGCTGTCCAGGGTATTTTAAGCATTCTTCTGTAATACCACATCTCTGAGGCCTCAAGAAATTGTTTGGCCTGTCTACTGATTGTCCAGGACTCACAACGCATTGCCTTTAAATATCTGTGCCTACTTGACGAGGCTAACAGTGACTATTGTACAGACCACATTTTCCACTTTAAAATTTCAGCCAAAGTGTAATCACAATCTTACTTATCCGCTGCACCCTCAAGAATACAGATGGAGGATCAGTTGCACCTCGAGATAAATATAAATACAATTTTTAGCACGCTGCTGTTGGCATTTTATGCAGTTCGATTCACTGAGTGTGAAACAATTAAAAAAAACTCTTTTCGACAGTGGTGGGGAAAGACAATTTAAATTTTAACTTTTAAGTTGCTTCATGCTTTCTTTAATAATGTCACAATTTATAGCCGACTTTTCTTGATTTTCACCACGGCACCCCTGGCATACGCACCCAGTTTGAGAACCTCTGTTGTAATGCCTTGGTCGAGTCAGCAGGCAAAGACCTTGCCAGCTGCTGTACCAGGCAACCGGGTTGCAGTTTCCCCAGCTACGAAAGACTTATGCAACAGCAACTACTGTGTTAATGAGAGAGTTATTGCAGTCCATCGCAGTGTATGCAAAATGGGTGTAAGGTAACCACTATTCATATTCGGCCCGACCGCAAGCATTTGGCCAAATACTGAATAGTTATTAAGTCCACTATTCGGCCCCGAAGCGAATATTCGGTTCAGCCCTAGTTTAAACCAAGGTTTGTCATATAGTAGTACTTAAGAACGACAGACATTTAAACCTGATTTTGTCATTTAGTAGGTTACTCGGCCAGCGAACTTCACTTTTGTTTTAAATGAGTTTTAAATGAGTTTTCAGTGTATGTTATCACCCATGCACTGCATCCCTGGTGGTCACCAAATTCGAAATGTCCCAGTTTAGGCCGATATGGGCCATTAACCATAGCACACTACAAGGAAGATGGCAGGAGTCGTGCATAAGAGTCCATAAGACCAGTGTTGAACCTGAGGCCCAGTCGAGGTGAAGTACATAGTATCTCCTTATACACATCACTTCACTTTCCTTCATTCCTGTGACAGAAATCACTGCGCCACACAAACTACTACAGGTGAGTGGTTCCAGTAATGCATATTGTTTTTCTTCTTTGAACTTTTCTTTTCACTTTCTTTCTTCCTACCTCTTTCCTCTTTTAAGTCCTGTTGTATGGACATGTCTTCATTCATGTCTTTTTGTATATTCTTTTATCTTTCCATTACCTTTTATCCTGTTCTATATCTCTTTGAGTCCCAAGAAATGCATCATAGGTTCATAACAGGAAGCCCAATGAACGCAAGATGCACTGTTTTTACAACTCTCTTTACCACCCCTTGGGTCTCTGATGCTAAACCTTGTGGGACTGAAAGAGATATTCACTTATCCTGTCTTCACTCATGTGTCATTGTTTTGTTCTCTTGTTATTTATATCTTATTGTGTGTTCTGTTATCTTTTCATTATCTTGTTATGCTTTTCTGTATTCACTAGTATTATCGTGTCTTCACTGCTGCCTTGTTGTTTTGTTACAGTCTGGAGAGACGGCGCTTCATGTGGCTGCCAGGTACGGCCACACCTCCACGGTTCAGTACTTGTGCAGCATTGATGCTAACATCAACCTTTTTGATAATGTAAGTATTTGTGACAGTGTCTGTCTGTCTGTCTGTCTGTCTGTCTGTCTGTCTGTCTGTCTGTCTGTCTGTCTGTCTGTCTGTCTGTCTGTCTGTCTGTCTGTCTGTCTGTCTGTCTGTCTGTCTGTCTGTCTGTCTGTCTGTCTGTCTGTCTGCCTGCCTGCCTGTCTGTCTGTCTGTCTGTTTGTCTGTTTCACCTTTGCTTGCTAATCTTGAATATCTACAGTCATGCAGGAGCTTGTTCTATCCCAAAAGTGATGTTTCTTAGTTGTCACATGGTGAGATTGGTCTCAACTCCTGGCTTGAGTTTGAGGCTCTCTCCATTCACGGAAGGTTCAATGTCTGGTTAGTGGCTCAACCCCACTAGGGGGTACAACAAACAGACACCACCCCACTAGGGGGTACAACAAACAGACACCACCCCACTAGGGGGTACAACAAACAGACACCACCCCACTAGGGGGTACAACAAACAGACACCACCCCACTAGGGGGTACAACAAACAGACACCACCCCACTAGGGGGTACAACAAACAGACACCACCCCACTAGGGGGTACAACAAACAGACACCACCCCACTAGGGGGTACAACAAACAGACACCACCCCACTAGGGGGTACAACAAACAGACACCACCCCACTAGGGGGTACAACAAACAGACACCACCCCACTAGGGGGTACAACAAACAGACACCACCCCACTAGGGGGTACAACAAACAGACACCACCCCACTAGGGGGTACAACAAACAGGCACCACCCCACTAGGGGGTACAACAAACAGACACCACCCCACTAGGGGGTACAACAAACAGACACCACCCCACTAGGGGGTACAACAAACAGGCACCACCCCACTAGGGGGTACAACAAACAGACACCACCCCACTAGGGGGTACAACAAACAGACACCACCCCACTAGGGGGTACAACAAACAGACACCACCCCACTAGGGGGTACAACAAACAGACACCACCACCCCTGGGATAGGTAGAGCAATCAAACTAGACATTTTCAGATTAGATCAAAGTATATCTTTAGCCTGCCATATTCATGCTCCCGACCACTTAATCCTTAATCAATTTTCTTGCCGGAGAATGAAAAATATCTAAGCAATTAATTCGGAAGAATAAAGATACATTTAATGTCAGTTGTAACTGAATTTGCTATGAGCAATCTGAATGGTATAAAAAAGAAAGTTTAATGGCATTGTATTGTAGATCTACATAACTGCATAAACAAGTGGAAAGAATGAGGGGAAGAATGTCAGTATGGAATACAAAATAAATGGGTCATATATCTGTGCATTAATCTTCTCCAGCATTAGTAGCTTCTAAACAGCTTAGGAAATAAAACAGTATGTATATATGTTAGTACAGTATATAATGATTGACTGACATTCAGCAACACCAGGACCGTACGACGAGCCATAAACACCTGGTGACACAAAGTGCCACTGTTCGGAGGAGAATTACCCGGGCGCAAGTCCCAGAAACCCTCTTCAAATAGAAGGTTATATTTAGGGCCCCCAGTGACAGCCCGGATTCGGCTTTAAAATAACTAAAAAAAATGGTGTCCCACATTGGGACAGGGATTACTTATATTATAATATATAATAAGTTTATATAATGTAAATGAGTATAAATTTGCATGATTCAAAGTATTATATGTATGTGCATCAAGTAAATTAATTTCTAAACTGTTTTCTTCACCTCATTGGTGCTATAATATTTGGTTAATTATAGAATTGGTTAACCTTAGCTGTTGAGCTCTTCTGCTCAAATATATTAAAAAAATATGTTCTTTGTTCCTTTTCTTTTACTGTGATTAGTCATAAAAGTGATTCCCTATGATAGAGATAGTGTTGTATGGATTTTCTTGTCTCTGATATATTTTTGACACAGCAAGAAGTTGGTGTTTGTTTATAGATTCATATATCTTTAATGTACACTTGATATAGTATTTACAGTGTTTACATATTTATGTGTCTTTAACATGCATTTGATATAACTAGTGTTTAGAGATTGATATTTCTGTAGCATATGTGATATACGGCTAGTGTTTACAGATTTATTTGCCAGTAACCCATTGACTATCAAGCCCGTTAACCCTTGCACTTTCCAAGAAACTACATATTGAAGCCTCACAACTTTAAACATAAACTCACAATGTTGTGTTTATTTTTGCGCCAAACTGAATGGAGAACAAATTTACAGAATAAAACGTGATGACATTATCATCATGTGGCTTTAGAAATGCCAAAAATCAACCAAATTTTTTTTCTGACAGCAGTATAGACTAACAAAAATTCCATAGCTTCACAAATGTTGAATGTAAACTCACAGTATTTTGCATTTTTGCACCAAATTGTGAAATCCTGTTGTAAATCATTGTGTGGGTGTTATATTTGTGCAAAAATAGCAATGGCAAATCTCCTGTCTGACATTTGCTGAAATAATCCGGGATGAGAGCTGTGAAATATAGTCTGCAGATTTCATGGCGGTTTGCCATTTTGCCCCAAGAACTACTCAGCTGCATGGTCTCGAAGCATGGTGTCGGCCTCGAGTTCTAGAGGTTCTGGGTTCAATCCTTGGTAAAGGCTGGGAATTTTTCACGTGGACTTCTAGTAATTCCCTTGGTCTCTGGGTAGTGAGATCGGTCGCCCGTTTGCATTGTTGCACACATAAAAAATCCCTAGGCAGTTAGAAATCGAAAAAAGTAGCCTAACGGTGATGCCAGGGCAAAATTTGGAGTTAAAAAAAATCTACCCAAAGTATTTCAGGACCCCCGCCAGCGCTACAGAGCCTGTGCACTGTTCTGAGCTTTTTTGGATTCAAACTTGAGTTAGAAGAAGAACGGAGCACTTATGGATTACTACCCGTGTGCCATGATGTTGATCTGTTCCAACTTCAAACCTAAAGAAAAAAGCCCCAAAAACTGAATTGTCAAACCAACAACACACAAAAACTTCCACAAAAACGCAGTCTTGTAGGAACTGTGACAGTGAGGCGCCATTATAAAAACAGCCGTATAACATCATCTGCAAGAGAGAATCATTCAGCAACTATTTACTAGTAGTTGTTTTCTTTAAAGAAACACAGAGCAGAACTGACGGATTCAGCTGACGGATTCAACGACATCAATTGCAAAATTCTCAATTTTAATCTGGCTGTGAGCATTCAGAGTTATGATCGCAGGGGGTGGGATCACAGTAGCCAATTAGAAATATTGGCTATGAGCATTACCGTAATCATAGTAGTCAGATGGTTAACATAAGTTTGATATAGCTAGTGTTTATAGATTTACAAGTCTCTGAGTGTAAGTTTGATATAGCTAGTGTTTATAGATTTACAAGTCTCTAAGTGTAAGTTTGATATAGCTAGTGTTTATAGATTTACAAGTCTCTGAGTGTAAGTTTGATATAGCTAGTGTTTGTAGACTGACACCTGTCTAAGGGTAAGTTTGATATAGCTAGTGTTTATAGATTTACAAGTCTCTGAGTGTAAGTTTGATATAGCTAGTGTTTATAGATTGACTCCTCTCTAAGTGTAAGTTTGATATAGCTAGTGTTTATAGATTTACAAGTCTCTGAGTGTAAGTTTGATATAGCTAGTGTTTATAGATTGACTCCTCTCTAAGTGTAAGTTTGATATAGCTAGTGTTTATAGACTGACACCTGTCTAAGTGTAAGTTTGATATAGCTAGTGTTTATAGATTTACAAGTCTCTGAGTGTAAGTTTGATATAGCTAGTGTTTATAGATTGACTCCTCTCTAAGTGTAAGTTTGATATAGCTAGTGTTTATAGACTGACACCTCTCTAAGTGTAAGTTTGATATAGCTAGTGTTTGTAGATTGACCCCTCTCTAAGTGTAAGTTTGATATAGCAAGTGTTTATAGATTTACAAGTCTCTGAGTGGAAGTTTGATATAGCTAGTGTTTATAGATTTACAAGTCTTTAAGTGTAAATTTGATATAGCTAGTATTTATAGATTTACAAGTCTCTGAGTGTAAGTTTGATATAGCTAGTGTTTATAGATTTACAAGTCTCTAAGTGGAAGTTTGATATAGCTAGTGTTTATAGATTGACACCTCTCTAAGTGTAAGTTTGATATAGCTAGTATTTATAGACTGACACCTCTCTAAGTGTAAGTTTGATATAGCTAGTATTTATAGACTGACACCTCTCTAAGTGTAAGTTTGATATAGCTAGTATTTAAAGATTTACACCTCTCTAAGTGTAAATTTGATATAGCTAGTGTTTATAGTATGACACCTCTCTAAGTGTAAGTTTGATATAGCTAGTGTTTATAGACTGACACCTCTCTAAGTGTAAATTTGATATAGCTAGTGTTTATAGACTGACACCTCTCTAAGTGTAAGTTTGATATAGCTAGTATTTATAGACTGACACCTGTCTAAGTGTAAGTTTGATATAGCTAGTGTTTATAGACTGACACCTCTCTAAGTGTAAATTTGATATAGCTAGTGTTTATAGACTGACACCTCTCTAAGTGTAAGTTTGATATAGCTAGTGTTTATAGACTGACACCTCTCTAAGTGTAAATTTGATATAGCTAGTGTTTATAGACTGACACCTCTCTAAGTGTAAGTATTTAAAGACTGACACCTCTCTAAGTGTAAGTTTGATATAGCTAGTATTTATAGACTGACCCCTCTCTAAGTGTAAGTTTGATATAGCTAGTATTTATAGACTGACCCCTCTCTAAGTGTAAGTTTGATATAGCTAGTATTTATAGACTGACACCTGTCTAAGTGTAAGTTTGATATAGCTAGTATTTATAGACTGACACCTCTCTAAGTGTAAGTTTGATATAGCTAGTATTTATAGACTGACACCTCTCTAAGTGTAAGTTTGATATAGCTAGTATTTAAAGATTTACACCTCTCTAAGTGTAAATTTGATATAGCTAGTGTTTATAGACTGACACCTCTCTAAGTGTAAATTTGATATAGCTAGTGTTTATAGACTGACACCTCTCTAAGTGTAAATTTGATATAGCTAGTGTTTATAGACTGACACCTCTCTAAGTGTAAGTATTTAAAGACTGACACCTCTCTAAGTGTAAGTTTGATATAGCTAGTATTTATAGACTGACCCCTCTCTAAGTGTAAGTTTGATATAGCTAGTATTTATAGACTGACTCCTCTCTAAGTGTAAGTTTGATATAGCTAGTATTTATAGACTGACACCTCTCTAAGTGTAAGTTTGATATAGCTAGTATTTATAGACTGACCCCTCTCTAAGTGTAAGTTTGATATAGCTAGTATTTATAGACTGACACCTGTCTAAGTGTAAGTTTGATATAGCTAGTGTTTATAGACTGACACCTGTCTAAGTGTAAGTTTGATATAGCTAGTGTTTATAGACTGACACCTCTCTAAGTGTAAGTTTGATATAGCTAGTATTTATAGACTGACACCTGTCTAAGTGTAAGTTTGATATAGCTAGTGTTTATAGACTGACACCTCTCTAAGTGTAAGTTTGATATAGCTAGTGTCTATAGATTTACAAGTCTCTAAGTGTAAGTTTGATATAGCTAGTATTTATAGATTGACCCCTCTCTAAGTGTAAGTTTGATATAGCTAGTGTCTATAGATTTACAAGTCTCTGAGTGTAAGTTTGAAATAGCTAGTATTTATAGATTTACAAGTCTCTGAGTGTAAGTTTGATATAGCTAGTGTTTATAGATTTACAAGTCTCTAAGTGTAAGTTTGATATAGCTAGTGTTTATAGATTTACAAGTCTCTGAGTGTAAGTTTGATATAGCTAGTGTTTATAGATTGACACCTCTCTGAGTGTGTTTGATATAGCTAGTGTTTGTAGATTGACCCCTCTCTAAGTGTAAGTTTGATATAGCTAGTGTTTGTAGATTGACCCTTCTGTAACACTGCATGTTTGACCATTGTTCCTCTCCAGTTAGGTGAGACGCCACTACATTGTGCTGCTTGGCATGGCTATGTGCAGATCACACGCATCTTGTGTGAAAATGGAGCCATGCTGACCCTACAGAACAAGGTAACTGTTGTGCTAGTTTGTTGCTCTGTGCTGCAGGTTGACTGCATCAAATTTAGCAGTATTTCTGACAGCAGTGTGGGATAGCAGTGTATGACAGCTGTACAGTTGACAGCAGTTCAGGACAGCTATGTGAGGTAGCAGTGTGTAGGAGCAGTGTTTGACAGCTGTGCAACTTATATCACTGTGTGACAGCAGTGTCTGACATCTGTGCAAATGACAACAGTGAAGGGCAGTAATGTAGCAATGTATGACAACAGTGAAGGACAGTAATGTAGCAATGTATGACAGCAGTACAACTGATAGCAGTGTGTATGCAGCTGTTCTTATCAGATCAGATTGACAGGAGTTGTATATGGATATATGTTCTTTGTAAATTTGTGTTTGTGCTGTATATGGATATATGTTCTTTGTAAATGTGTGTTCGTGCATGTTTTTTTTTCTTTAGTAAGTTTTTGAAGTAGGAATATATTCCTGATGAATTTTAGTTAACATTTGTGGGAATTTAGCCACTGTACCTGCCAAAACTGCCAAAACTGCCATTTTTTATACCACCTATGCAGTGTAGGCAGGGTGGTCTTTGAGCCTGAGGATTTAGGGCTGCATGGCTAGTGCTGTCACCCTGGACTGTAAAGGTGAGGGTTTGGGGCTGCATGGCTAGTGCTGTCACCCTGGACTGTAAAGGTGAGGGTTTGGGGCTGCATGGCTGGTGCTGTCACCCTGGACTGAAGGTGAGGGTTTGGGGCTGCATGGCTAGTGCTGTCACCCTGGACTGTAAAGGTGAGGGTTTGGGGCTGCATGGCTAGTGCTGTCACCCTGGACTGAAGGTGAGGGTTTGGGGCTGCATGGCTAGTGCTGTCACCCTGGACTGTAAAGGTGAGGGTTTGGGGCTGCATGGCTAGTGCTGTCACCCTGGACTGAAGGTGAGGGTTTGGGGCTGCATGGCTAGTGCTGTCACCCTGGACTGTAAAGGTGAGGGTTTGGGGCTGCATGGCTAGTGCTGTCACCCTGGACTGTAAAGGTGAGGATTTTATTTTTGCTCCTAACAGAAAAAAAACCCCTCCCCAACGTTACCAAGGATTCAAACCCAGGTTTCTTGCATGAGAGCCCAGTATTCTATAGGTTCTGCCAGCCGTTGCTCTTAGCAAACATATTTCTAGGCAGATTTATGTGAGCATATTCCTGTTTTTTGTGTAACATATTTTACTGATGGTAATGTTTCTCACCACATTCTCATATTGCTCAGGTGATTTACCTGTCTTTTGTACACCTGCAAAATGGATCACTGACATAAGGCTCAAAACGCATGGTATTATTTGCTGTAGGAAACATGTTTATCTAGGGCACATTTTGCAAATACAGAGCCCACAATTCTTTTGAGTGCATAAAAATAGAATTCTGTATAGAAATTGGGTCAGCAGGGGGCAGCCAATGTGTCAGTGGTTCCAGGCCAGTGTTTGCAGGAGAGGGGTCTCTTTTGGATGCTGGGGATCTCTGAAGATATCTAGGCTGATTGAAGCTTGATGCAGCCTTTGTAGGGGAGTTAGGATAAATAAATCACTGTGTTGACATAAGAAAATTGACAGTTTTAAAGGTGGTGAGAATTAACATAGGACTTGATGAACTCGTGTAGACAGCTGTACATCTGCCAATCTTCTACTTCGTTTCTCTTTCACATGGAGCAAGACAAACCTAAATATCAACTACTGTAGCTCAGAGATCAGAGTAGCTGACTACAGAATACATTTGTCTAGGTTTGACTTCCTCTACAGATTCCTCCTGTTGAAGTTTTGACTTCCTCTACAGATTCCACCCGTTAAAGAGGTTCTTTCTCACTTTTGACTTCCTCTACAGATTCCACGGTTGAAGAATTTCTGTCTCATTTGTGATTTCCTCTACAAATTTCACCTGTTGAAGAGGTTCTGTCTCAGTTTTGACTTCCTTTTATGGATTCCACCTGTTAAAGAGGTTGTTTCTCACTGTTAACTTCCTCTACAGATTCCACCTGTTAAAGAGGTTCTTTCTCACTTTTGACTTCCTCTACAGATTCCACTGTTAAAGAGGTTTTTTCTCACTTTTGACTTCCTCTACAGATTCCACCTGTTAAAGAGGTTTTTTCTCACTTTTGACTTCCTCTACAGATTCCACCTGTTGTAGAGGTTGTTTCTCACTGTTAACTTCCACCTGTTGTAGAGGATGGTTCTCTGTCTGTAGGATTTCTTTCCTAATATTTCCTCCAGGGCACTGTCCCTGCAGCCTACTTTTGCCATTTTAACTGTTTATATTTTTACCTGAGACCTCGCATTATTTCAGCTTGTCTGTGAAGACTAGCTATGGGACTACCTGAGACCTCCCATTATTTCAGCTTGTCTGTGAAGACTAGCTATGGGACTACCTGAGACCTCCCATTATTTCAGCTTGTCTGTGAAGACTAGCTATGGGACTACCTGAGACCTCCCATTGTTTTAGCTTGTCTGTGAAGACTAGCTATGGGACTACCTGAGACCTTGCATTATTTCAGCTTGTCTGTGAAAACTAGCTATGGGACTACTTGAGACCTCCCATTATTTCAGCTTGTCTGTGAAGACTAGCTATGGGACTACCTGAGACCTCCCATTATTTCAGCTTGTCTGTGAAGACTAGCTATGGGACTACCTGAGACCTCCCATTGTTTTAGCTTGTCTGTGAAGACTAGCTATGGCACTACCTGAGACCTCCCATTATTTCAGCTTGTCTGTGAAGACTAGCTATGGGACTACCTGAGACCTCCCATTGTTTTAGCTTGTCTGTGAAGACTAGCTATGGGACTACCTGATATCTCCCATTATTTCAGCTTGTCTGTGAAGACTAGCTATGGGACTACCTGAGTGTTTGCTATCGTTGACCCAGCAGAGCCTTCAGCTCAGTGCCAGGTTGTGATATCCCTGAAGAAAAAGTCCTGTTCATCTTGCATGAGAAACCTAGACAGCCTGTGGAAATAACAGACAGGTACATGATGTGTAAAGCTGTCTCACCAGAACCATAGACCAGCTGGCCAGATCTGTTCGCTACAGTTCTTGCCCATTCCTGAGAAAAAAGTTGAAACAAATTAAGACTCATCCAAGTTCTAGCACACTGGTTGTATTAGAAACAAAAGACGTATACCAAGCAAAAGTTTTCGAGTCTGAACAGAACATTATTAAGATGTTAGAGTTGACGATCAAGCTGTTAGTACAAGACAGCACTAAAAGCCAGGTGGCAGTTGCAGACACTAGAACCAGTTAACAAAGTGACTGGAAGTGAAGAACACAACGCAACCTCAAGAGTGTGTAACCACAGTTGCCAAAACAGCAGCTTTTCGGAATATCATTGTTGTTATTTGTGACATTGCTGAGGTATCACAATCAAGACAGTAAAGAATAGAAGAGTTGTTTCTAGACATTTTGTTATACAAGCATCAGAGTCGTGTGAGAAGCATGAAACAATCATGAGAGACCATCACCACCACTACTATCCACACGATCATCTTTCTCCTCATCTACATTCTTCAGTTGACTCCTACTGTAGCAAACAAAAGATGAACCTGGGTGTGACATCACTACACAGAGAAGAGAGCTGTGCTACAGACTGTGCCATGTTATGTTGTATTAACCATGATATTTTGACCATGCTGTATTAACCATGATATTTTGACCATGCTGTATTAACCATGATATTTTGACCATGCTGTATTAACTATGATATATTGACCATGCTGTATTAACCATGATATTTTGACCATGCTGTATTAACCATGATATTTTGACCATGCTGTATTAACTATGATATATTGACCATGCTGTATTAACCATGATATTTTGACCATGCTGTATTAACCATGATATTTTAACCATGCTGTATTAACCATGATATTTTGACCATGCTGTATTAACTATGATATATTGACCATGGTGTATTAACCATGATATTTTGACCATGCTGTATTAACTATGATATATTGACCATGCTGTATTAACCATGATATTTTGACCATGCTGTATTAACCATGATATTTTAACCATGCTGTATTAACCATGATATTTTGACCATGCTGTATTAACTATGATATATTGACCATGGTGTATTGACTATGATATATTGACCATGCTGTATTAACCATGATATTTTGACCATGCTGTATTAACTTTGATATATTGACCATGCTGTATTAACTATGATATATTGACCATGGTGTATTGACAGGAGAAAGAAACAGCTCTACACTGTGCTGCAGTCAGGGGAAATGTGGACTGTGTCCGAGTTTTACTGGAGTTTGGTGTCCCCCTCAATTACACAGATAAGGTATGTAGTCTTGTTTATACTTACATTATTGTGAGATGTCCAATTACACAGATAAGGTATGTAGTCTTGTTTATACTTACATTATTGTGAGATGTCCAATTACACAGATAAGGTATGTAGTCTTGTTTATACTTACATTATTGTGAGATGTCCAATTACACAGATAAGGTATGTAGTCTTGTTTATACTTACATTATTGTGAGATGTCCAATTACACAGATAAGGTATGTAGTCTTGTTTATACTTACATTATTGTGAGATGTCCAATTACACAGATAAGGTATGTAGTCTTGTTTATACTTACATTATTGTGAGATGTCCAATTACACAGATAAGGTATGTAGTCTTGTTTATACTTACATTATTGTAAGATGTCATCTTTAGTACCCGGGTGCACATGCATGTTTTCCTGCAGGACTCTATCTCACTTTACAGTAGACCCTCTGTTTATCTCATCTTACAGTAGACCCTCTGTTTATCTCACTTTACAGTAGACCCTCTTTTTATCTCTTCTTACAGTAGACCCTCTGTTTATCTCTTCTTACAGTAGACCCTCTGTTTATCTCACTTTACAGTAGACACTCTGTTTATCTCATCTTACAGAAGACACTCTGTTTATCTCACTTTACAGTAGATCCTCTGTTTATCTCTTCTTATAGTAGACCCTCTGTTTATCTCATCTTACAGTAGACCATCTATCTTATCTTACAGTAGACCCTCTGTTTATCTCATCTTACAGTAGACCCTCTGTTTATCTCATTTTACAGTAGACCATCTATCTCATCTTACAGTAGACCCTCTGTTTATCTCATCTTACAGTAGACCCTTTGTTTATCTCACTTTACAGTAGACCCCCTGTTTATCGCACTTTACAGTAGACCATCTGTTTATCTCACTTTACAGTAGACCCCCTGTTTATCTCACTTTACAGTAGATGCTCTGTTTATCTCACTTTACAGTAGATCCTATGTTTATCTCACCATACAGTAGACCATCTGTTTATCTTACCTTACAGTAGATTATCTGTTTATCTCACTCTACAGTAGACTGTCTGTTTATCTCACCTTACAGTAGACTGTCTGTTTATCTCTCCTTACTGTAGACCCTCTGTTTATCTCACTTTACAGTAGACCCTCTTTTTTTATCTCACCTTGCAGCAGACCCGAGATATTTATTCAGGTATGTTCACTTCTATTGTCTGCTTATTTGGATCCTGATTTTGGTTGTCTAATTTTCTTGTAGCTCTTCACCATCTTTTTGTTTGTCTTCAATGCTAGTTTCCATTGTATACAGTCTAATTAAGTCTTGTGGAGAGTTCTTAGGGCTCTGATTCTGTTCTAGATAAAAGCCCCACATCAGCAAACCATGGATTGTGCGGGATCTCCCATCAGTTGAGACAAATATTTTACAGAATAATGTATCCTAGACTTCCTCTACAATCCGCTGGCAACAGAACAAATCCTGGCTGAACTCAAGCTGGTGATTGGTAAACGTATCCTATGCCATTGATTGTACAGAGAGCATTGCTCACATCTTGGTGTGGCTTCCGTGCCATTGATTGCACAGAGAGCATTGCTCACATCTTGGTGTGGCTTCCATGATTTCTAGGATATTGATCTCAAAAATGAATATTCTTGTCATTTACCGTAAGCCTTTATGTCAGACTTGATCAAACTTGTTATGTATATAGACATGTAAAGACAGCCCATGACAGGAGTTGAGATGTAAGATAGTAGAAAGATGGTATATGACATATAGTCACATAAAGTACTACATGAAATATTTTGTCGGATAAGGCAGTACCTAGCATATGTAGACACATAAGGTAGTACCTAACATATGTAGACACATAAGGTAGTACCTAGCATATGTAGACACATAAGGCAGTACCTAACATATGTAGACACATAAGGCAGTACCTAACATATGTAGACACATAAGGCAGTACCTAACATATGTAGACACATAAGGCAGTACCTAACATATGTAGACACATAAGGCAGTACCTAACATATGTAGACACATAAGGTAGTACCTAACATATGTAGACACATAAGGCAGTACCTAACATATGTAGACACATAAGGTAGTACCTAACATATGTAGACACATAAGGCAGTACCTAACATATGTAGACACATAAGGTAGTACCTAACATATGTAGACACATAAGGTAGTACCTAACATATGTAGACACATAAGGCAGTACCTAACATATGTAGACACATAAGACAGTACCTAACATATGTAGACACATAAGGCAGTACCTAACATATGTAGACACATAAGGCAGTACCTAACATATGTAGACACATAAGGCAGTACCTAACATATGTAGACACATAAGGCAGTACCTAACATATGTAGACACATAAGGCAGTACCTAACATATGTAGACACATAAGGCAGTACCTAACATATGTAGACACATAAGGTAGTACCTAACATATGTAGACACATAAGGTAGTACCTAACATATGTAGACATATGTAGACACATAAGGTAGTAGACACATAAGGTAGTACCTAACATATGTAGACACATAAGGTAGTACCTAACATATGTAGACACATAAGGCAGTACCTAACATATGTAGACACATAAGGTAGTACCTAACATATGTAGACACATAAGGTAGTACCTAACATATGTAGACACATAAGGTAGTACCTAACATATGTAGACACATAAGGTAGTACCTAACATATGTAGACACATAAGGTAGTACCTAACATATGTAGACACATAAGGCAGTACCTAACATATGTAGACACATAAGGCAGTACCTAACATATGTAGACACATAAGGTAGTACCTAACATATGTAGACACATAAGGCAGTACCTAACATATGTAGACACATAAGGTAGTACCTAACATATGTAGACACATAAGGTAGTACCTAACATATGTAGACACATAAGGCAGTACCTAACATATGTAGACACATAAGGTAGTACCTAACATATGTAGACACATAAGGCAGTACCTAACATATGTAGACACATAAGGCAGTACCTAACATATGTAGACACATAAGGCAGTACCTAACATATGTAGACACATAAGGCAGTACCTAACATATGTAGACACATAAGGTAGTACCTAACATATGTAGACACATAAGGTAGTACCTAACATATGTAGACACATAAGGCAGTACCTAACATATGTAGACACATAAGGTAGTACCTAACATATGTAGACACATAAGGCAGTACCTAACATATGTAGACACATAAGGTAGTACCTAACATATGTAGACACATAAGGCAGTACCTAACATATGTAGACACATAAGGCAGTACCTAACATATGTAGACACATAAGGTAGTACCTAACATATGTAGACACATAAGGCAGTACCTAACATATGTAGACACATAAGGCAGTACCTAACATATGTAGACACATAAGGCAGTACCTAACATATGTAGACACATAAGGCAGTACCTAACATATGTAGACACATAAGGCAGTACCTAACATATGTAGACACATAAGGCAGTACCTAACATATGTAGACACATAAGGTAGTACCTAACATATGTAGACACATAAGGTAGTACCTAACATATGTAGACACATAAGGTAGTACCTAACATATGTAGACACATAAGGTAGTACCTAACATATGTAGACACATAAGGTAGTACCTAACATATGTAGACACATAAGACAGTACCTAACATATGTAGACACATAAGGCAGTACCTAACATATGTAGACACATAAGGTAGTACCTAACATATGTAGACACATAAGGTAGTACCTAACATATGTAGACACATAAGGCAGTACCTAACATATGTAGACACATAAGGCAGTACCTAACATATGTAGACACATAAGGTAGTACCTAACATATGTAGACACACATAAGGTAGTACCTAACATATGTAGACACATAAGGTAGTACCTAACATATGTAGACACATAAGGCAGTACCTAACATATGTAGACACATAACATATGTAGACACATAAGGCAGTACCTAACATATGTAGACACATAAGGCAGTACCTAACATATGTAGACACATAAGGCAGTACCTAACATATGTAGACACATAAGGTAGTACCTAACATATGTAGACACATAAGGTAGTACCTAACATATGTAGACACATAAGGCAGTACCTAACATATGTAGACACATAAGGCAGTACCTAACATATGTAGACACATAAGGCAGTACCTAACATATGTAGACACATAAGGCAGTACCTAACATATGTAGACACATAAGGCAGTACCTAACATATGTAGACACATAAGGCAGTACCTAACATATGTAGACACATAAGGCAGTACCTAACATATGTACACATAAGGTAGTACCTAACATATGTAGACACATAAGGTAGTACCTAACATATGTAGACACATAAGGCAGTACCTAACATATGTAGACACATAAGGTAGTACCTAACATATGTAGACACATAAGGCAGTACCTAACATATGTAGACACATAAGGCAGTACCTAACATATGTAGACACATAAGGCAGTACCTAACATATGTAGACACATAAGGTAGTACCTAACATATGTAGACACATAAGGTAGTACCTAACATATGTAGACACATAAGGCAGTACCTAACATATGTAGACACATAAGACACATAAGTAGTACCTAACATATGTAGACACATAAGGTAGTACCTAACATATGTAGACACATAAGGTACCTAACATATGTAGACACATAAGGCAGTACCTAACATATGTAGACACATAAGGCAGTACCTAACATATGTAGACACATAAGGCAGTACCTAACATATGTAGACACATAAGGCAGTACCTAACATATGTAGACACATAAGGCAGTACCTAACATATGTAGACACATAAGGCAGTACCTAACATATGTAGACACATAAGGTAGTACCTAACATATGTAGACACATAAGGTAGTACCTAACATATGTAGACACATAAGGTAGTACCTAACATATGTAGACACATAAGGTAGTACCTAAACATATGTAGACA